CCTGCTGATAGTTCATTAGACAAAGGTGCAAAGAATCCTTTGGGAAGTGAGCCTGTGTCTTCCACCAGTGATTACTTAGGGTCTAGTCCTGCATCGTCATCGACTGTCTGTTTCTCCTCCTCCGATCCAGTACTGGTTCCATATAGTGATTCACGTTTGCCTGGTGCTGTTGGTGCAATCAGTTGTGAAGTGGGAAGCCAACGTCCTCCTGGGAAATTAAATGCTGTTAATACTTCAGACAGAAAATCAGCGGCTGGTTAGGATATTTGACATTTTTACATTAACTACTTTCATAATATGTTGAGTTTTAAAGTTTTCCAATGTAATTAATGAAGAATTTCTCCCCAATGATTGTATGACAGCTTTGGAGACAGATAGCTCTTCTTTTCAAGGAAAGATTCATGGAAAATCCCGGGGAGTGGCAAAGAATCACTTTACTGAGGGGCTGTCTTCATCAACAATAATGCAGGGGAGCTCTTCACGGCCTTCCTCTAACCACAGTAATCGGTCACAGCAATTAACTGGCCCTCAGAAAGGTAATCTAATCTAACAAGGAGATTTATGTCTACTCCATAGTCCATGTGGGCATATTCTGCTGTATTTGTTATTTTTATGCAATAACTCTGTTACAGAGTGCATATTGATGTAGATGCATCATGCATAACTATGTGTGAATATGCTTTATATTCTTCTGTTGCAGTTGTATGTTTTCCCTTCTTGCCAAACTTATTGTCAAGAAGGTATCACGGTATAAGAATTGAGTGAAAAGTTTTTTTTCATGGCTATTTGTAAGTTTAGAAGACTTGTTATGATTGCATTTTTTTTTCTGCATGAACAAGAATTGACTCATGGAATCTGTATGTTTGTGTGACCAAGTGACGAAAAAATGCATTAATTCCTTTCAGTGCATTTATATCCATCTTCCCCACAATAGAATGTGAAATATATTGATATTTTCCTGAATGTACGAAGCAGATGCAACTATTTATATAGTTGCTAAAAGTGCAAGGGAAGCTACTCTAGAGTACAGCAGGAGGAATACAGGACACCTGTCAGCAAGATATCAAACTAACTATCAGACAGCTAACCCCTAAGAGTGACGACAGTCACTTATACAAGAGAAAATACAGAGTAAAATTCTATACTCTAATACCCCTCTGCATGCTCAGCAGGGGTGAGATGAATGAACATCTTGGACCTCAAATACTGAAACCAAGTGGGAGAGAGGGCTTTATTCACTGAGGCAGGAACATGGAGAACCTCAAGTTGTTTGTTCAATACTTCTCATACAAAAAATAGATGAAGCTACATGTGTTTAGTGCGAGCATGGAGAATAGGATTATATGTAAAGAAACTGTGCTCATATTGTCACATAAAATTTGAGGAATAGCATGAGAAACTCCCAGCTCCTGAAGAAGAGTTTGAATCCAAAGAGATGCAAAAGTTGCAAGGGCCAAGCTTCTGTATTCAGCCTCAGTACTTGATTTGGCAACTACAATTTGTTTCTTTGAACACAAAGACACAAGATTAGGCACAAGAAATAGAGCAGCACCTGAAGTAGATCTTCTATCATTTGGGTTAGAGGCCCAGTTAGTATCACAATAGGCTTGAAGGAACAAAGGGGAGTTTATAGAAGCAGGATTGATGGAGAGGCCCCATGAAATAGTCTTTTTTATATATCTAAGAATCCATTTTACTGCAAGCTAGTGTTGTTCAAGAGTTTGAGCCATAATTTGGCAAACTTTGTTGGCTGAATAACCTATTTCAGGTCTTGTAATTGAAGCATATTGTAGAGCACCAACAATAGATCTGTAATATGTAGGAATAGGATCATTGCAATAATCTGAACCAGTCTTTGTAAGCTTGCAGCCACTGACCATAGGAGAGGAATTGGAGTTTGCTTCATTCATCTTGGTTCTGTTATGCAGGTCTCTGATGTATTTACTTTGAGCAAGAGTTAGAGAGCCATTGGAATGATGTTTGACCTTAACTCCAAGGAAATAGTTCAGGTTCCAAGATCCGAAAGAGAAAAGGCAGAATAGACTTTAGTGATTCCATGAAGTTTTGATTGCTGCTAGTAATAATTATGTCATCCACATAGACAAGAATGTGAACAACATTTAAATTTGCGGAATAGACAAATAGTAAGGGATATTAGATAAAAGTAGAAAGAGATAAAGATTTAAAGAGAAACTTAATTTCATTCCTACTCAGAATGAATACACAGGTTACAGAATATATAGGAAACCCTTCAGTAATACAACTGTAAAAGGAGCAGCACAGAGAGAAAATAAAACAGGTGTCACTCTAGACCTAGGAATATTATGAAGATGTAACTGAATGCAAAATAGAATGCAAAAAGGAAAAAGCTAACAAAGAAATATTCCCTTTTTAGATTTTATACACTAATAGCCCCCCTCAAACTCAAGGTGGAGGTTTGTCACAAAAGCCTCGCACATTGAGTTTGCCTCTAAGAACTTCAAAACGGGTAGCAGAGTAAGTAAATCATTCCATTGATCCAAAGTTGGTATGTGATAAACTAAAAGCTGCTTGGATAGAACTGTGTCACGAACAAAGAACACATCAATCTTCATGTGCTTTGTTTTGCTGTTAAAAACAGGATTGTGAGCAATAGCCACTGCACTTTGATTCTCACAGAGCAAAGTAGGTGTGGAGAAAGGAACCTTAAGTTCCTGTAGAAGACCTTGAATCCAGGTTAATTCAGTAGAAGCTTGAGCTATATTGTGATATTCAACTTCTGTGCTAGACCGAGCTATAACTCGTTGTTTTCTGGACCACCAAGATATCAAATTGGGTCCAAAAAAGATGGCAGATCCAGAGGTTGACCTCCTGTCATCAATATTAGAGGCCCAATCAGCATCACATAAAGCAGTGAGAGAGATGGGGCTGCCAACTGCAGTAGGTTGCATATGAAGACCATAAGAGAGAGTGCCCTTTAGATACTTTAGGATTCTTTTAACAACCACCCAATGAGAGTCAGGAGGATTAGCCATGAATTGACAAACTTTGTTAACAACAAAACTGATTTAAGGTCTTGTGAGTGTAGCATATTGTAAGGCACCAACAACAGATCCAAAAAGAGTTGGATCATGAAATAAGTCATTCCTAGACTTGGACAACTGGTAGGTAGAGAACATAGGAGAAGAAACAGAATGAGCTTTAGCCATATTGGTTTTAAATAGAAGGTCCCAAATATACTTGCTCTGAGTCAAAACCAAGATTTGTCAGGCAAGTATTTAACTTCAATATAGGCAAGTATTTAACTTCAATATCTAGAAAATAATCCAAGCTTCCCAACTGCTTCAAAGAAAATATGGAGTCAAGTTGATTAGTAATCTGTTGAATAAGAGAAGAAGAGCTGCTAGGAATAATGATGTCATCCACATAAACTAGAATAAAGATGGTATGAGCTTGATGTTGGTACCAAAACAAAGATGGATCACATTTACTGGCTTGAAAACCAAATTGAGTAAGAGTAAATTTCAATTTGTCAAACCACTGTCTAGGGGCTTGTTTCAAGCCATATAGTGCGTTGTTGAGCTTGCAAATCAGATTTTTATTTTCAGCTTCAAAACCAGGGGGCTGAACCATGTAAACACTTTCTTCTAAAGTGCCATTAAGAAAGGCATTATTCACATTCAGCTGAAATAATTCCCTGTTATAGGTAAGAGCAAGTGTGATAATGATTCTAATAGTTATGGGTTTAATAACAGGAGAAAATGTCTGATGAAAATCAAAGCCATGGACTTGATGAAAACCTTTTGCAACCAACCAAGCTTTAAGCTTATCTATAGAGCCATTAGCATTTTCCTTGACTTTGAAAACCCATTTACATCCATGCTTTTCTGTCAAATGGCAGGGGAACTAAATCCCAAGTATGATTGTGTATTAAGGAAGTGTATTCTTGTTGCATAGCAGAGAACCAATTAGGATCAACTAGAGCTTGCTTAACATTTTTAGGTTCACTATGAGCCAAGAATAATGATGGATGTAGCCGAGGATTATGAAATCTAGATTTAGAACGGTTTTGCATGGGATGATTATTAATGGTTCTAGGAACATTATCTGTGTGAGTGGAAGAGGCAGGAGAAGACACATTATGTGAGGAAGACTCATTAGATGAAGGACTTATGTGAAGAGGACACATGAGGTGAAGGGGACATTGTGGGACTGTTTGTGACACCTGGATCACTGTTTTGAGAAGACAAAGGAGGCTACTGTGAGAAAACAATAGGATTAGTGCAGGGAGGAGATAAATCCGGATTGAGAGCGAAGTATTGACAAGGAGAGACATTTTGAGTGGGACTTGGCTGAAATATATCTAAATAAGGAAATTTATGTTCATTAAAAATAACATTTTTTGAAATGTAAATTCTGTTGGAAAAGGATAGGCATTTATAACCTTTGAGAGTTAGAGTATCCCAGGAAAACACACTCCTGGGATCTAAACTGAAGTTTATGACTAGCATATGGTTTTAAGAAGGGAAAACAAGCACAATCAAATGTTCTTAAGAAATTGTAATAAGGTGATTTATTGAATAAAATAGTGAAAGGAACATTAAAATTTAATGCGGTAGTTGGTAATCTATTGATAAGATAAACTATAGTGGTAAAAGCAAAATCCCAAAAATTGCAGAGGTAAGGAGGCATGATGAAGAAAAGTAAGACCAATTTCAACAATATGTCTATGTTTCCTTTCAACCACACCATTTTGATGATGTGTGTGGGGACAAATCAATCTATGTTCTATTCTATTTGTGGCAAGAAATGTAGTAAAAGCTTTGTATTCCCCTCCCCAATTAGATTGAACACTTTTAATTTTGGTGTTGAATTGAAGTTCAGCCATAGTCTTAAATTGTTGAAAAACAGAGAGTTTCACATTTCGACTTTAAGGGATATATCCAGGTGTATTTAGAGAAAGCATCAATGAAGGAAACATAGTAAACAAATCCAGAAAGGATTTAATATCTAATGGTCCCCACAAATTAGTGAAAATTAAATCCAAAGGGGCAAAATATACGATTTTAGAGGCAGAAGAAGGAAGTTTATGAGACTTTTCTATACAACAAGATGAGCAAAATTCAGTAACATTTATTTGATGGAAGGTTACATCGAGTAAGAACAAGCTTAAGAACATGAGAATTAGGATGACCTAGCCTAGTATGCCACATAGTGGAAGAGCTAGATACACTAGAATTTTTATTTACATTCATAGTAGTCAATAGCGGGCGGAGCGGCTGCGATCCGGAGCGGAGCGGCCTCACCCCGCAATCTGGCTGCTGTCGCGTGGCGGATTTGTGTAGCGGCCGGAGCGGCCGCGTCGGAGGTGGAGCGGAGCGGCACAAATCACGGAAATCGCGGCGCGATTTCAGACTTACCCTTCATTAAGGGTAAGTCAGTCTTTTCAATGGGGCTTTTTTTGCCCTAATGCTCCCTTTCCCTCTCGCGATTTCAATTCTCGTAGTCCTCTCGTCTCTCCCTCTCAGATTCTTTCTTCTTCTTTGGCGATCATGCG